TTTCATTGTTTGTCTTGACTGGCCATTCTCCAGTTTAACACAATGGAGAACTCACCAATTCTTGAAAGAAATGTTTTGAACAAATAATCTGAAGGTTTAACAATCCACTAGGTGACTCTGCTCTTACTCTTGATACTATTTATAGCTGAACTTTAATATATTTACAGCTGAACTTTAATCAGAGCATAATTCTTTGATGTCTAGTCCATAGTCCCTTCCCCTTCCATCAGAAATTGGATCCAAGTGGAAACTTCAACAAGCCTCACCTCTTCCCTCCCTTACATTGAAACCACTGGGATCAGAGTAATTGATTCACCATTGAGCTTGGAGATTCTGCCTGTTTCAAGGCACTCAGGCTGCAGTTTCCTGTGACTTTTATCCTAGTGGGAACCATGCCCTTAATTTAGAAAAGTATTGCTCTGGGCTATGGACTATGAACAGGGTCCTTTTGGGGTTGCAATGAAGTGAAGTAGCCAGAGTAGAAAGGTAAGATGCTGGGCTCTGTTCTTCATGGGACTCATTTCTTGACTCATTCCCTTTCCTGTATCTCAGCTTTGTGCTATGTAAGGGTCCTATTTTGGTGGTTCCATATTTTATGTGATGTTTGAAACCACTGCTCACTTTGCCCTTCTCAGGTGTTGGATATTTCCAATCTCTAATTTAAAAAAATATATATTTCTTTAGATTGGGTTTTGGTCTACATGTAGAGATAAGAAAGATGACCTATAAGAACAAGTAACAGGAGATACCAGTGTTGTAGAGCCTGGTTTTACTTTTTGAGATAGCCAATAGGCTGGTTTGTGGGGCCATAATATTTCTGTGAAAGTCATTGAATAAAACTTCCCACACTAACAGCAATAAAGAAGGGTCTGGAATAGGGCAGGGAATGCTCTTGAAGTAACTTAGAAGCCTCAGTCTCTTCGGTAGAACAGTTTGTATTTTCCCAATAATTTTCTGTTTCACTGCCTTGCCTGTCAACTGTGCCCTTGTCAGTGTGGCCACCAGGATCTTGCTTCATCATTTAAAGTCCTGTGTATATTAGAGTTGTCTAGGTAGTGGTGTGCTGGTTACTGTTTAAAGACTAGATCTCTGAGAGGTAAAAGCCTAGTTAAAAACACTTGCCAATTTCCATGGTATAAATACTACCCCCGAGGTCAATTTCAAGCCATGTCACTAAATGTGAAGTTGGGAGATGTGCTGTAGGACATCACTATATAGTGTGCTCACCATATAGTTATGATAGATGGAAATAACTTCTAGAGCACAGAAAATAAAAAGTAGTGAAATAATTAGGAAGTGGAGAGTTTTGAGTATTATCTTTGTTTAATAACTTATTTAATTGCAAATTTATACAATTTAATTTTTAATAATGGCTGTGTTTAACATTTGTCTCATAAATGTCTTTTAAAAATTTAACAACTGGTATACAAGCCACCTTTAGCACACCACTCTGCCTTGGGCTGGGGAAAAAGGGAGAAAAAGGAGAAATAAAAGGGCACATTTAGTATTAAAGTACAAAAGGCCTCTATGCCATTCAGACTTTAAGATCCTTCTTAGCCTTGGTCCATGAATTCACTGAAATTACATAGTTGGTATTGGACAGAAGTCTGGACATTAGAGCTAGACATACTGGGTTACAGGCTCAGCTCTACCATTTGTTAGTTGTGCAATCTTAAACAAGTGTCTAACCTCTCTTAGCTTAAGTTTCTTGTGGGTACAATAATGTACTTGCTTCATAAGGTTGTTATGGGAATTAAATGAGATAATATACTCTAAGTAGTTAGTCCACTGGATCACATAGTAAACCCTCAATAAATGGTAGCCATGAGTATTACTATTATTATTAACCTGATCTATTTCTAAACTGTCCACAGGAGTTGCAATGATAGGATCTATCTCAGGTGCAAGATCACACAGAGATTGATTGTTAAAGACAATCTTCTTTGTGTAGCCTGACCTTCATTTCTGCAACAACCATTTATGTAGGGTCAGCAGCAGGGGCAGAAGTGTCCTTCTCTCCACACCTCCTGAAAAAATTGCCCTCACAGGTGCCTAAAGTTCAAATACTGGTGACTCACTTCTTGCTGTTAAATGCTGTCTTCTCCCGAGGCCAGCTTTTAAAATGCAAATACTCTTTGGTGCATAATTAAGGCAGCACCTTAATGGAATGGAATGAGGCAACCAGTTCCCAGGGCTCTGGGAGTCTAAGAATGAGGAGCCTGGAGTGGGTGATCAGATACACGAGGGTTCCCACACCTCAAACGCCATTCTCCCCCGCCCCCCACTTCTAAGTTGACCAGTTCTTCAAGCTGATATGCCTCTAAAAGCAAATCTGTCTGTCTGCTTCCCCAAGTATCCCAGGATCAAGACCCAGTTGACCCTCAGGCCCACAGTCCACTAATGAGGTGGGAACATTGATGAATATTTGGGGTCAGATTTCCTATTGAAGGAACATCAAGTTTGCGGTTGATTTACCGGGTTCTAGTCATGGTCCCAACCACTTGTGACTTTGGAAAGGTCATTTAATGTCTCTGAATCTTTTTTTTTTTTTTTACGGATACTGAGGATACTAATGAGGATTAACCTGAGACTCAAATGAGGGAGCCCTTTATGACTGTAAAGCTCAACATAATGTGCTTTGTTGGTACCAATCTCTGTCCCTATTCTTGGAACCAACCTCTTGTCTCTGTCACTGTTTTCAGTTGGCTCCTTTGCTTCCATTCTCCACATGTAGATATGGAGAGAAGGCCTTCCTGACAGCACCATAGATGGACAAAAATAACGCATTTCTACCCTTTATGCTAAAAGTTTCTAGTAATCAAAAATACCGGTTCCTAGCTAGGATCACTTATTCATGACAGTCTTGTGAGCAATAGCAATAATGTGAAGTTATTCCCATTTGGCTCAGGTAACTTGGCACAACAAGAAGGCAGAGGTAATGTTTGCGGGAGTCCTAAGGCTCCATGAACACTAATTATGCTCTAATTGAGGTTTTGTTTGTTTATTTATCTGGGCACCTGTGATGCTACACAAATGCTATAAAAGCAGTTGAGTAGCAGAAACTGGGGAGGAACTGTGGCTTCCAGAGGGACCAGACTTGCAAGGAGGTCTTAGGTTCCAGGCGAGGGCCTGGGAGAAAGCAAGAAGCCAGGTGAGCCAGTCTCCAGTGCTGATAACTGGCCCCAGTTTGCTTCCATTCTTAACCATCTGTATGGTCTGAGGGGGGTACTTGGTGCCCTGGTAGGATGTTCTGACTACACTAAGAGAAAGGAGGTTGTAATCTGATGCTTATCTCAGTCAGTGACACAATATTTATTGGTCCCCTTACAGCTCTAAAAGAAGGAAACCTCAGTCCTAGGGTCCTAGCAATCACTGGGTGACTAGAGGGGCTTCGTGATTAAATCTTCTGTTGACTGGCACCACCCTTCAGGTGCTTGCGGTGTGGGTTGGTGAGACAGGTGGCTAGAGGATTTCCTGGTCATTAGGGGAAGGGCGTTGTGTTTCAGGGCTGATTATTTTTGGTGGGGAAAAGATTGCTAGTGGCCAGCCAGGCAAGCTGCCTGAAACTAAGTACTCACTTGGAGGCCTTCCAGGATCCAGCCAAGGGGCTGGGGTGAGGGAGTGAAGCATTGGTTGGCGAAAGGTCCACTCGGTTCTGATGAGCATTGTGTGGGGTTTGGCGCCATGCTTCTTCAGTGACTGGAGAGTGGCCAAGGGGAGCACAAAAATGACAAAAAGAAGGGAGAAGAGGGCCTTCGGGGAAAGATTACAGATATTCCGTCTTGAACAGAAGAGACCAAGTTGACTGAACATGCTATTTTCTTCAAATATATGAGAGATTTCAATAAGATGTTGACAAAATGTTCTAACAACCAAAAAAGAGAAAGCCATCTACCTAGAGGCAACATGGATTTTCAGTCACACTGCAGCAGGGTGCCGAATACACACTTGACCAGTGATAACATCTGTGCGCTGAATGGAGCCCTCAGAGCAATTTGGAAAATAATGAAAGGAAAGAGGACCCTCCCTGATGTATGAGGACCTGGGCCAGCCCTCCAGGTCCAAGGATCTGGGCACAGATGCCAAGCTCCTCGTATCTGATGGTGAGCTGTGGTTCTGGTTTGTAAGGTTCCAAGAGCACAGGGGGTTCTTTGTGTGATAGAAAAGTGCTCCAAGCTAGTGAAAGGACTGATGGATTTTTAACTTGATAATAAAAAGCTCTGAGTAGAGAACACCCTCCCAGAGGTGGGAGATTAATTTTATCTGTGTTTTTTTCAGCTGCTTCTCTTTCCCCACATCTTGCCCATTGTTTTTTACTACTTGTTCAGAGGAGGGCAAAGAGGTTTTCAAGAAAGCACCAGAATATGAGGACTTTGATTCCAGAGCAGGAAAAGATGGCACAGGCCAAGAGCAAGTCCACAGCAGCCTGCCAAAGGGGACTCAATGTCTGCCCTCTCCCCTGAGCCCTGGAACCAACCAGACGACTCATTGTGTGATGGCGCCTCCAGCCCTGGGCCCTGCCTGGTCTTCTGAGGAGACACCATCTCCTCACATCCAGCAGCACAGCTCCGGCCCTGAGGTTGTGTCTGCTTGGTCTGAAATATATCTCTGAACTGGCCAGGTCCCTTCCCAACCTGCTGTTCTCACACACTTCAGAGTTAGTTTGCCCTGAAATAGACTGAAAAGGGAAGGAAGAAATGGTTTGGATCCCAAGTCTCTTTTCAACCCCAACAGTCTGCTTCGTGGTCTCGGTGAATTTTGCTCATTTTGGAAGCCATGGAGGAGGGAATTGGGGGGTGGGGGATGATAATAATCATTCTGATTGAATTAATTAAAAATGTTCTGTAAAACTATTCCAACTAATCAGGACAAACATTACACCAAGATCTTGAATCACAGGTTGTTTACATAATATAATGCCCAAGGCAGACGAATACTAGATACCCCTAAGCACCTGAGACAAAAAAAAAAAAAAAAAAAAAAAAAAAAAAAAAGAAGGAAGGAAGGGAGGGAGGGTGGTGAAGGAAGAAGAATAAAAAGGAGTGTGGAGCCCTGGAATCTGGAGATCCGATGGGCACAAGCAGAGTTTCTTGGAGGAGGGTGGCTGTGTGAGCCTCCGGTGGCCTCACTTCACATCTCGGCTTCTGAGGAGCAGACCTCTGTCGCAGTGATAGCGATTCCGATGGCAAGGCTGCCGTTGTCGGAGAAGAGCTGCGCCAGCGAGGTGTTGAGGACGAGGCAGTCCCCATCAGTGATCACCGAGTCCACACACTCAAGGACAGACCTGGGGGTGGCCTCCCATTTGAGACGCCGATGGTTTCTGCTGAGCTCCAGGCGGTAGGTGAAGCAGTCGGCCTGGGTGGGGGTCCCAATCAGCATCATGGTGGCAAAGAACTGGGGGTGCCCTTCATGCCTCTCCTGCTTCCTGAGCACCAGCAGAAAGTGGTGGCCGAGGCAGGAGTGCATGATGATCCAGTCAGCCGGGGCCGGGAGGTGCATGTCCGTGGCCAGGAAGACGATCTCGGCTCCCTGCAGGATATCCACTCTGTGCGTCTGCCGCAGGTGGGGCACCACCACCTCCAAGTGGCCTTCCCACTGGCAGGAGAATAGGGGGCACAGGCAGGGCGTCACCTGGGTGGCACGCAGCTCTGCCTGCTGGTGGTGGAGGTGGTGAGGGTGGGCGTGGTGGCGGGGGTGGTGGGAG